CCAGGCTGAGCCTCTGCATAAGCCACCAAGGAGAACTAAACACAGCAGAACACTCTTGCAGCGTGGTTATGAGGCCACATTTATAAACAGGATTTCAGCTCCATGAACTTCAGCAAGACTAAACAGAGAAGAATGGGCATTTACATTTGGAGACTCCTTTTGTTTGCCACCTCGCCCTTGACCTCAGTAGAGCATTTAAATCACATTATTGGTATGTTCTGTGTAGCTGTAGGATACAGAGACTTGGCTCCAGGTACCTGGACTTAAGTAAGATGTAAGTGATAAGCTGTGATAAAATTCAAAATAACTGGAAATAAGGGAACTTGGCACAACTAAGTTCGTCCTTATTTATCACAGCTGACATCCAGCTGTTCCCACGTTATGAAAATGCCTTTGAGTTCAAAATACTTCATTCTCAAATACTGCCAAGAGAAAGAACTGAGGCTAAAGCTTAGGACAGAGGCAACTTGAAAGGGGAAACAGAGTTTTTAGCTGGAGAAACTGAAACAGTTCAATATTCCTTATAAATCCGGTGAAAGATCGTGTTGTGGTGACAAAATCTGAAGCAACACTTCAGGGAGAAAGTTCTTCCAGAAAGCGTATCTACACTTACAGGAGCAAATCTTCAGTCTTTGAGAAGTAATGGACATTGGTGTAACCAATAGTTTCCTTTCAGAGTTTAATCAGCTTTATGTGCATTGCTGTGTCAATCTCTTAAATCTTTCTGCTCTAAAAAAAAGCACTGACTAAGCAGCAGCACTATGAGCAACATCAATACCATTCATCTTCGAAAAACAGTGTTCATAAAACAGAACCACAAGGCACATTTCTAAACTATTTGTATTTTCTCATATTTCAATTCAAGTAAATTAATGATCATGACTGTCATTTTAATATATTGCAGAGAAAATATTTTTAAAGAAATTAAAGAAGTGAAGTCAGATTTTATGGAAAATTCTGATTCTGGGAAAAGATTGATTATTTTATCAATCACAGATGTTTATAGTTCAATCCAGGAAGCAGTAACAGCTTTTAACATGGTGTTTGGAAATTAAGAAAAGAATCATTTAAAAGCAGAAAAACAAGACAGCTGTCCTTGAGCATCCTCTGAGGTCAGTGATATATGAAGTGGTAAGACTAAGAGTGAAGAAAACAACACCAAAGATCTTGAACATCACAAGCCATTTTTAAAATGGGCTACAAGGAATCAAAGACTTTTGACAGCAGTGGGGATTCACTGCCTAGAGCTGAGATAAAATCAGCGTAAGAGGAGTTCCAGGAAGGTGTGGGAGATCAGTGCCAGTTCCTTCAGAAAGTCAGGGTTCCCTGTAGCACCACAGCAGTTTGCCCTGCAACGTCCACCCTTCCGTCACTGCGCAGGGAAA